AGGCCATTTATCATTTATGTTGGGTTTTAAACTTTGCATTTGCCAAATGCTCACTTCTTTACTTGCCTTTCTAACAACTCTGAACAGGGCTCGTTATTCCTAGCTTACATATGGGAACAACAGCTGATGTGGAGGTGAAGGGGTAAGACATTCAAAGTAATGGCTTCCAACAGAACTTTCATGCAATGATTACAGTAGCACACACTCTTAAGATGCTGTTGTTGTGTGCTTTCAAGTAGTTTCTGACTTATTGTGACCCTATCAATGGGTTTTCATGACAAGATTTGTTTAGAGAAAGGTATTGGGTTCACCAATGCCTTTCTCTGTGATTGGAAGGTGACTTGCCCAAGGTCGCCCAATGAGTTTCTGTGGCACAACAGTGATTCAAACTCTAGTCTTGTGCCATAGTCCAACATTCAAATCACTACTCTACACTGGCTCTCCTTTAAAGACATACCTGGGCTTTTATTCTCAGAGCATGTTTTCTAATTGGTACTTTGCTAGAGAAATATGAAGCAAGGCTGGCAGTTACTAAGGAGAGCCATCTTGGTAGTGGCATTCAGTTGTGCAGACATCCTAGAGAGACTTACTCATTTTTAATAGTCTTCTCATTGTCAGGTAAATACCATTTTAGTTATTTAGAGAGAGGGAAACACACAAGTGATCAATCAACAGAACATAATTGTTCAATTGATAAGTAAAACATTTCAAGTTATGCCTTCCTCTGTTGCTGAAGGTGAATAACTGCTTAAACAACTGAGAAAGGCAGGTGCTGAAATACTGTGTTTATTCCTTTAACTGTTAAGTTCTACTTGTTAATCACTTTAATAAATATATGCTAAGTAAATAAACACCCTGGGCAGGTCTGTTTAACTTTGTGCTCTCCAGGCATGCAGGAATCCACAACTAGGGTGGCTTAGGGGACATGGGATATTGTCTAGCACATTTACAGGGCACCGGATTTGTGACTACAGAAAAGCAGGGATAGAAGCATAAGGCAGATGCATGTACTGTAGTGCAACACAATTATTCGGGTAAACTGGAATAAGTACACAAAAACGGTTTGTTAATTGTTTGTTTTCTAACCAGCTATGTAACATGAAGTATTATATGTTTTACAAGTTGCTTGAGTGAGGTTCTAACTCTCAGGGGCAATGCGGCCCCCGTGTCCAAATGTTTTCCCATGCCTGATAGATACACACACACACACACACACACACACACACACACCATATATACTATATAATAGATTTTATTTATTTGTTTATCGTATCAGAAGCAAGCCGAGGGTACAGTTGTAATGTATTTTTAAAATAAAAAAAAGTTGAAAAACTTAGCATTATACTAAAAATATTATAGATATTATGTAAACATTTACTGGAGCCCTACTAGAAACCTTCGTTTCAAAAAGGGCTCCACAACTGAAAAAGTCTGAGAACCCTTGAGTTAAGCAACCAAATAAAAAGGGTGATCACCAGTGGTTCATCTTCTTCCTGGAAAGATGTGACCAATGGAGTGTGGCAGGGTTCTGTCTGAGGCTTGGTGCTGTTCAATATCTATATTAATGACTTAGATGAAGGTTTAGAGGGCGTGCTTATCAAGTTTCCAGATGACACCAAATTGGGAGGAGTAGCTAATACTCCAGAAAACAGAATCAGAATTCAAAATGACCTCAACAGATTAGAGAGCTGGGTCAGAACTAAGAAAATGAGTTTCAACAAGAAGTTTAGAATACTTCACTGAGACAGAAAAAAGTAAATGCACAGATTCAGAATGAGTGACACCTGGCTCAACAACAGTCCATGTGAAAAAGATCTTGGAGTCTTAGTGCACAAGTTGAACATGAACCAACAGTGTGATGCAGCAGCTTAAAAAGGCAATGGGATTTTGGGCTACATCAAAATGAGTATAGTGTCTAGATCAAGGGAAGTCATGGTGCTCCTCTATTCTGATTTGGTCAGGCCTCACCTGGAAAACTGTGTCCATTTCTGGGCACTACAATTCAAGAGGGATATTGACAAGCTGGAATGTGTCAAGAGGAGGGCAACTAAAATGAGACCATGCCTTATGGTGAGTGGCTTAAAGAGCTGGGTATGTTTAGCCCGCAGAAGAAAAGGTTAAGAGAAGACATGATCATCATATTTAAATTTTTGAGAGAATGTCATAAGGAAGGATAAGGCTTGTTTTTTTGCTGCCCTGGGGACTAGGAATCGGCACAATGGATTCAAATTACAGGAAAGGAGATTCCACTTGAACATTAGGAAGAAGTTCCTGACAATAAGAGCTGTTCTTTGCCTCTGAGTGTGGTGGAAACTACCTCTCTGGAGGTTTTCAATCAGAGGCTGGATGACCATCTGTTGGGGGTACTTTGATTGTGTTTTTCCTGCATGGCAGGGGGTTGGACTATATCAGTAGTTCTCAACCTGTGGGTCCCCAGGTGTTTTGGCCTACAACTCCCAGAAATCCCAACCAGTTTAGCAGCTGTTTAGGATTTCTGAGTGTTGAAGGCCAAAACATCTGGGGACCCACAGCTTGAGAACCACTGGACTAGATGGTCCATGTGGTATTCTCCAACTCTATTGTTCTATTATTCTCTTCCAACAATGTTTATTTTTCTTATCTTGAATTGAAGCCTTTGATGAGTCATTTGATTTGGCCTGTTCCCTTTCCACCTGTTAAGAAAACCTCATGATCAAAAAGATTAAACACGCAGGTGGACATTAAAAAAAACTTCAACCCAAGGGCAAGGCCCAAGATGGCTAAAAATAAAAATTGAAAAGCTGGTTATTGAAACCATTCATGGAACAATAAGCTTGATGTCACATTGATTGTCACTCCTTCACAGACAGACTGAAAAAATAGGGAGGTGCAGTTAACTGTTTAAAAAGCAGCCCAAAGCCTAAATCTGATTTGTTGTTCCTAGTAAAGAACATTTAATTAATGGCATTTATATAAAGGTTAGTCACAATTCAACAATTTATTCAGAGAGTCTACCAGTTGGTCACCTTGGAGTTTTGTCCTGGAACTTTTCCATGGAACTTTCTAGTTTTGTTCATAAGTTTCATCCGTGTGGAGAAGAGCAAACCATAGAACATCTACTACAATGCAACCTGAGCCCTGCTACATGCCCAATGGAGGACCTTCTTATAGCAGCACCAGAGGCACTCCAAGTGGCCAGCTACTGGTCAAAGGACATTTAGTATAATGCCAAGTTTTTTTTTTCAACTTTGTGTTTTTTAACTACATTACAACTGTACCCTCAGTTTGTTTCTGATAAAATAAATAAAATCATTTTAATTTATCAAGTATTTAGGCAACTTATGGAACTAAACAAAGAACTTCAAAAATAAAGCTAAACTCCACTACAGTGTCATAGCATTGTCTAGTAAGTGTTTATTTTTGTTTTAATCCTGCTACCTGCTAACACATTATGTCTACAATCCTGTTTGCCAGTATAAATGCACTGGTTTGGGAGGTGATATAGGCAGTGGAGCAGAGACAAGGGTAAAATGGCTACAGCAAGGTGAAGGAATGGTATCTTGACAGATTTCTGTCAAGAGAAAAACCTGTCTTGCCTGTTCCTGAGCTGCTTGGGAACCAACAATGCAACTTTCTCTGCCCAAAGAGATTGATTTCTCTTCCAATTCCCTGCCCAAACTGCTTGTCACTCCAAAAAATTCCTCTTATTAGCAAAACAGAAAACTACACTGAAAGCTATATAAACCAAAAGACAATTCCCTAAAATAAGGCCATTGCAAAGAGGAGGACGTATTGGTACACAAATTTCGATGATGCACACATTACAATAGCATTGGTAAGCGCTAGGTTATTTCCAGCTCTAATGACGTACAAATTACCAGGCAGACTGGGTTGTAATGTAATGTTTTGTCTGCTCACTTGCCTGAACAAAGACTCCTGATAAATATCTGGCTACCCAAAAGAAAAGGTTATTTCATTTACCTTTGAGGAAGACATATGCAAAGGGCAAATATTTAATCTAAAACAGTACTGTGATTGTACTTGAAAATGTATTATTTTTTGCAGGAATCCCTGCAACCCTTTCAATTGATTGGGTCATTTTATTTTAGTTTAATTTATTTATATTTTTACAGTGATTAGTGCACATGGCTTACAATAGAATACATCACATTTGGGTGACAGATATAGTGTGGTGCTGAAGGCCACAGTGGCTGGAAGATTCAGGGAGTTGTAGGACAAAATCATTAGTGCTTAAAATACTGGTTAGACCAGGGGTGACAAAGTTGCTTAGGCATCTGTGCATATAGATCTGGAAGAAATTCCATTTTGATGACTTTCCTTGTTCTCAGTTCAGACATGTACTTGGCCCACGAGTACAAGGTTGGGTTTACATTAAACAAAAAGAATGTGCTAGATTTAGGGCACCAGTTCAAGCCAATCAATAAACTGCATTATGATTTGTTTATTCACAGTAAGGCAGAAATGTGGCTAATTCTAATAAAAAGACATTGGAAAAACACTTTATTTGGAACTGAAACAAGCCAGAGTCTGCTGAAATTTGCTTGAGTCCTCTACTGATGTCAAGCTGTGCTTTGTTAACCAGTCACAAACCACAATTTGAGCCCACAAGTTGTTGTTGGTCAAATGCTGGCTTGTTTAAACTCTGGCTTGTCGTGATGTTCAAAACTGAAACTGCTATTTATCCCTGGTTTCCTTAATTGCCCATCTTGGCAGAAGTTGACAAAAATGGTGGAGTGGGCACGGGGAAGACAGACATGGTTTGTTTAGTGCAATTTGTAGCTGACGCAACACAAACCACAAGTTATTGATATGTGACTAAGCCTACTGAATTTCCAGAAGGAACCATTCTATCAAAATTTTACAGTGGAAGGAGGGGAGCATGCATCTAAAACAAAAGAGTTTTGTTCCAAACGTTATTTCCTAAACTTAAGTTTCTTAAATGTCTGAATGTTAAAAACAATTACGGTAAGTTCTTGTTTCAGCAAAATACTGACATAGGGAAAAGACGACACAAAACTACTTTTACTATCAGATTTTGAGATCAATCACCCTGTAATACGATCCAATTATAGACAATTATTTAGAAATATCCTTCCAGATTATCTCTTATCTTTCACCAGGCTCCGAACACCATGATTCCATAGGATGTTGCTATGACAGTTAAAGAGCATTTTATAATTGTATAGTATGGAGGGAACCTAGATCAATAAAAGCACTTTACAGATACTAATCCTGCCAACCAGTATTCCATTTGCCCATTTATAATAATTTTTTTCTGCTCAGGAAAGACAAATACACTTGCCATGTTTTCGAGTAAAGAAAGGACAGAGGGGAGTGAATATGTTAAGTGTGGATAGCACAAGTTCTAGTTCAGACTACAAGAACACTGAGCCACAATTGTTAAGTCCAAGGGCATCAGGATAATACGTTATTGTGAAGAATGAATTACGCCGTTTTGTAAAAAGTGCCATAAAATCAAGTAATAGTGTTTTTTTAAACTGTGAGATTCAAATTTAATTGCTTTGTTGAAAACTAAGCAGAGGAATAAAGGTCTCACACTCTTCTCATGTCAGAATTCATCTTGTTAAGAAGAACAGTCCACTACCTTAAGCATGCCATTCTTCATAACCTTAACGTGAATCACAAGGCAAGTTGTATGCAGTGTACCATTGTTCTTTGCAGCAGCTGCCTTGATCTCACTAGAGAAAATGGCTTGCCCTTCAATCTTCTCAGTTCTGTGAAGCTGCTCTTCGCGGTCCAAGAGGCTTCCAGCTCACTGTTGCCATAGCCAACCTTCTTTTTCTCACCCTCCTCCTATTTCATGCCTTTTCTTTTCATGTTTTTCTCCATTCATCTTTTGGCTCATTTGTGTTCACGGGGAGGGTGATAGCTAGATGTTCGATGCTCTTTCCGATCAAACTCATCATGGCTTTCCCTGCAAACCAAAATAAAACTGTAATCAGTGTTTAGCCAAAGATGACTGGGACAAACAGAATAGCATTTATCTGATCTATATGGCTTAATGTATATCATATAAATACATTTTATTGCTGTAAGTCTTTTGGGCTGTGTGGCCATGTTCCAGAAGCATTCTCTCCTGATGTTTCGCCTGCATCTATGCCTGCCATCCTCAGAGGTTGTGAGATGCAGACTGCCATGGATGCAGATGAAACGTTAGGAGAGAATGCTTCTGAACCATGGCCATACAGCCCCAAAAACCTACAGCGACCCAGTGATTCCGGCCATGAAAGCCTTCGACAATAAATCAGTTGTACCTTGCAATTCACGTGAAAGCAAAATTGCTAAAATCACATACAGTGAAAATGTTTTGAAAACATTAATTAAAAATAATTAAAATACATAAAGATTGTACTTCTTTAAATACCACTATTGCACATTCTTCTATCCCAACCAGTTAAAACTTTAAGATCTGCTTAAATAAGGTCTTTGCCTGCTGGCAAAAACTAAACACAGAGTAGGCCCCGTGAGCCACTATCAGGAGAAAATCCCATAGTTTAGGAGCCGCCACTGAGAAGGCTCCCATGTCCCATTGAGAACCAACTGTATGTTTGTTCATCCCATTTTTCCTAACATGAGGCCAATACTATCAAGTAGGTCAGGTAGAAAGAGACACAGACAAACAGACCCAAACTTAACTTGTGTGTTTCATGGTATAGTGAGGACTTGAACCTGGACTCCCACAGTCTTTTAGAGCCTCTGTTACACCACCTTGGCATAACAATAATACTTAGCAATAACCTGACAGGAACTCTCACCTAGTGAAATAAATTAGAGCCAAAAAGGTATTTACATGAGAGTTGCACAGACTATGTTCAACAGGGAGCTATATTCCACCATGTGGTCAGGAGGAGATGGCAGTACCATATCTAGTGCTTTGTCTTGCAGCTTGACAGGCAGAAAGCCCTGCTTAGGAAACTCTGGCTTTACCCTATGAGGCTGCTGCCATTACCTGAAACATCGCTGGCAGTAGAGGTCACCATCACAGCCATGGCAGCGCAGGACAGCATCTTCGTTGCAGATACAGCACCAGGGCAACTCTTCTTCATCGCTGTCTGGCACTTTAGCAGGCAGGACGGGAGGTTTCACAACAGGTGGAACCTTGGCCTGAAGGAAAAAGTGGAGAAATGCAATACACAGGCACACACACAATCTCCACTTGTTCCATCTACCTTCAAAGGGCAGGTGTGAGGAACAAATGGTTGGATCCCCTAAAGCTCCTCTGATCTATGTATGGATAAAACCTTATGAATATGAAAATATTATCTGCCCAACTAATTACGTAAATGTTGCATGATATCTCATTTCAAGAGCCCCAAGTAGCACAGCAGGTGAAATCGCTAAGCTGCTGAACTTGCTGACCGAAAGGTTGGCAGTTCGAATCTAGGGAGTTAGGTAAGCTCCAGCTTCTGCCAACCTAACAGTTTGAAAACATGCAAATGTGAGTAGATCAATAGATACCACTTCTGCGGGAAGGTAATTGTGCTTCATGCAATCATACTGGCCACATAACCTTGGAGGTGTCTACAGAGAACAGCTTATAAATGGAGATGAACACTACCCCTCAGAGTCAGACACAACTAGACTTAATGTCAAGAGGAAACCTTTACCTTACCTCATTTCATATTATACTCCAGTAAAATACAGGCACAAAGTACATTTGATTTGGACCATGTGGTAGTAAGGAAAAAAAATGTGATAGACAACTGGAATATATAGGAAGAGAACATGACTTTTCTACTTTGTCATACCTCATTATTGAGGCTTAGACAGAGCCCTCCTCCATCTTATCGCATCCCTCTGACTTTCCCCTCTTTAACATAGTGACCATGATGCAAGTCTACTTCATTGGGATGTTACAAGGATTACTTAAAAAAACCAGAGTGAAGTAATTTCTGACACCAAAAATGTCACCATAAATCCTAGTATTACTATGCTAAAAGTTGGTGTGGGCAACTGCAGAGAGGGTAAGAGCCATTTTTCACCCCCATATCCTTTTTCTCCAGCCCATCAGGCTATACCAATATATCAACATGACTGGAAGTGACATCATGCCACTTCCAGTTCCTTTTTATACTTTCAGCTGATAGAAGAGGAGTTAGGTCTGGAGTATGTGGCAGGCATGAAGTTATCTGGAGGGAAAAACTGCTGTGTTTTAACCCATCTGCATGCTCTTTCAGACAAAAAAAATCACCCTGATTTAAAAAATGGGGTAAATTTGGAGGTTGAGGGAAGATTCGTGTTTTGCCCACCCTTGCGTTACAGTAATGAGAAGTAGGAGCTTATTTTGGAAAATATATTTTAAAATTTTACTGCTCGAAATATGAAACAGAATGTGATGGGAAAATTTGCACTTGGTTGACTGCAAAGAATGATGAACAGGTTTGGCAAGAAGTGCAGTAATAGGAGAAGGCTGAAATGCTGAGGACTTACACATGTTGCCCAAAGTCAAACAGGAAGTATGCAGAAGAACTTGCTCATCATTTCACTCATCGGCATGAATGTTACATATGTTCAAAAGCAAACGTATACTCTGATTGGTTGACTCCATATTGATTCTTACCTTTGAAGATAATCATCCCAAAAATCCAAGGTGTTGAACTGATGTTTTACAGAATGTCCAAAACATTTGCATTCAGCTGGAAGGCTTTGAATTGGCCAATTTAATAGAGAATGAAGATACAGGTTATGGTTCTGAAGGCACATGTATTTTGCTTCTTACCATAACAAGCAGGCTTAAGGGTGTTTTCAATTTTTTTCATAAATTGCTTTATAGGCCACATGACCTTGGAGGTGTCTACAGAACAACGCTGGCTCTTCAGCTTAGAAATGGAGATGAGCACCACCCCCAGAGTTGGACACGACTAAACTTAATGTCAGGGGAAACCTTTACTTTACTCAGTACCACTTGCTTTATAGGAAAGCATTTAAAAGAACGTAGCTAATATCTAAAGTCGCCGATAGGCTGAGAAAGGTGGTATACAAGTATAGTAAAGAAAGAAAGAAAGAAAGAAAGAAAGAAAGAAAGAAAGAAAGAAAGAAAGGTAAAGGTAAAGGTAAAGGTAAAAGTAAAGGTTTCCCCTTGATATTAAGTCTAGTCATATCTGACTCTGGGGATGGTGCTCATCTCCAGTTCTAAGCCAAAGAGCCGGCATTGTCCACAGACACCTCCAAGGTCATATGGCCAGCATGACTACATGGATTACCATTAACTTCCCACAGAAGCAGTACCTATTGATCTACTCACATTTGCATGTTTTCGAGCTGATAAGTTGGCAGAAGCTGGGATTAACAATGGGAGCTTGCCCCGTCTGTGGATTCGAAATGCCAATCTTCTGATCAGCAAGTTCTGCAGCTTAGCGGTTTAATCTGCTGTGCCACCATGACCTCATCAGCTAATATCTAGTGAACACTTATGTAAAATGAGCAAAAAGTCAGAGACTGCTCACTTGATCAGTTTTCTTGGCTTGTTTTCGATGTGGAGTGGATCGATCTGGAGAGATGTTGAAGCCACTTGCTTCATCCAGAGCAGCTTCCTCAGTAAGCTGAAGATAGGCAACATACAAAACGAAGTGTTTTTTCAACATAATTTTTAATGTACACAGACTCTGACATACAGTATTGAAATATGTGCCAGGACAACAACACACTTTTTCAAACAGTATATTTGGTAGTGTATCTTCATACCAAATATGACCACTAGGCATGTCAATATTCTCAGAGAAACTAGGTTCAGATTCCTACTTAGCCACAAAATTTATTGATAGCTGGTCATAACTCTGATGGAGCCCCCGGTGGCGCAGTGGGATAAACCTCTGTGCCGGCAGGACTGAAGACCGACAGGTCGCAGGTTCAAATTTGGGGAGAGGCGGATGAGCTCCCTCTACCAGCTCCAGCTCCTCATGCGGGGACATGAGAGAAGCCTCCCACAAGGATGATAAAACATAAAATCATCCGGGCGTCCCCTGGGCAACGTCCTTGCAGACGGCCAATTCTCTCACACCAGAAGTGACTTGCAGATTCTCAAGTCTCTCCTGACACGATCATAACTCTCATGTGCCAAATAGCTACTGGACAGCAGCAACAGTGGATGATGACACTGGCAGAGGATCTTTCGGAGACAACAGCAGTGCCACCATTATTAATGCTTGTTGATACTTTGCAGAAGGGGACATGAAAACCCTATGTTGAGACAATACAAAATGCAACAAGTACTAGTACCGGTAGGTGAGACTCCCAGGTCTGAAGGCATTCACTGAGCTGCTGGAATACAGCAGCAATTACAAGTAGCGCTGTGACGCACTTGGACTCAAGCCGAAAGGACATTCAGCTGTTTGCGTGCTTAGAAGTGAAAGAAAAGTGTGAAGCTCGTTGTTCTTATTGAAAGAACATAGAATGTGAGACACATGAATCAAGGGAAGCTAGACATAGTAAAACAAGTAATGGAATGTGAAAACAATGTAACACTTAAGGTGAATAAGCTGAAGTGGAAAGGAGTGGGACATTATGAGTCAGATATTTACACAAGGTTTTATTCAGGAAATGAAAACACAGGAACAAATGAGATGGAAGAGTAGAGAGATGTCACAAGAAACCACCAAAAGATGTAAAGCAAAGTCTGGCAGACCCACATCAATAAGACATCTGGGAAAACCCAAGAATAGAACCATAATCCAACTTTATGCTCCAGCTACCAAGGTAGAAGGAAAATTTCATACTACAGTTCAGGAAGAAATTGATCACATACTTGAAGCTGACTTGACAGCAGTTAGCAACAACAAACCTGACCTAACTTAACAGGTTGTTATAAAGATAAGGGGGTGGCGGGACAACCCTAAGATTCCTGGTTAGAATAATATTGCCAAGGAAGATTAAATTTGGGAGTGCAGGGACTTAGAAAAGTAGTTCCAATAACCACACTATAGAAAAATAATTTTAAAAAATGCAATAGACATATCAACAAACCAATTCCAACTGTTCATCTTTTACCAACAGGAGGGTTTTTTTCCTGCAAAATCAATGATTTCTTAATGATCCAGTCAGGGAAGAGTTATCCCCTCATATTTTGCATTACAACAGGTCTAGCTTACAGTTATATACCATTAATAAGAAAATTAATTACTCCCCCTTTACCCTTCCCTCCCAGCTGCTATGATGAGGAGCTCTGAATGGTAACAAGTTAGCATCAACATTCCTGCTCGTCAAAAAATCTCAATGCTTTGGCCACTACAACTTTGTACAAAAAGTTTATCACATTGGTTTATTTATATCCCATGTTTTCTCTAAACAAGACAGTTCACAAAATTAAAAAAATACTTGGAAATAAAAACACACATGTAAAGAAAAGCATACAAAACACTATGCTGAAACGCAATAAAATCTGCATTATCCAAGTTCCTTCTTTCACACTTTCTCCTCTTCTCAAAAATTATTTTACTGCTATTACTTTGAGCCCATTGGACACATTTGTGGAAACATGTATAGGACTGCACTGCACAATTCATACAGTTTGTTGACTAGGCTACATGCTGAAAAGATGGTTTTTAAGCAACTTTTAATGTGAATATAAGTGATTTTAATGTTCGTACATATTTATGGTTTAATGTCCCGGCATTGAATGTTTGCCGTATATATGTTGTGCTCCTCCCTGGTCCCCTGCGGGGTGAGAAGGGCGGGATATAAATGTTTTAAATAAATAAATAATACTATAATAACAGCATAATTGTGGCAAAATATTTACCTGGGTAATGGGATAAAATATCAAGAGAAAAGATGATAATGTAACTCTAAATACTACAAACCTGTTTCAAAACTCTTTGAATGGCTTCCTCCTCTTCCATTTCTTCATCACTGTTGGGCAGTTTGTAGTCATCCAAGCTAACTGCAAAAAATGAAGGAGGAACAAATACCCTTCACCAAAGCCTTTCAACAACTTGTTTCTCTGAAAGAACGGATAAGGTGGCAGTTCACAATTCTAGTGAGTGGGTTTCCCCTTTAGATGTGGATCAAGAGGGACTGATCCAGACTGACTTCTCTTGGAGAGTTCCAAAGTTGGGACTCCTTCACTGAGGTAGCCTTGTTTGTGTACTCTTAAGAACTGGCGCTACAGACAGCGAGGCATTTTTGAGGTTCTCAAAATTCTGGACAGGTTCATAAGGGAGATGGCTGTCCTTCAGAGATCCCGGCCCCAACTACTTAGGGCACTGTATGTCAAAAAACATCACCCGAACTTGACTTTGGATCCAATGCAAAATCAATATAGTTGCCATTCAGGAGAAGGAAAGGAAACAAATGCATAGAGGGGATGGGAGGTTTATTTATTTATTTATTTATTTATTATTTACTTCTTTCGCCTTCATTACAAATCTCACTCACTATTCTTTATCTTGCCTCCTCCTCTTCTCCCTCATCCATCTGTGTGGCCAGCTACTGCTGATCAGCGCCTTTTCCTTCCCTTAGCAGCTAGGATTCGCTTTCGGTGTTTTTTTTTTCCTTCTGTCCATTTCTACTCTATGGGAGGGAGTGGGAGGAGGAAACCTTTCATAATCCCAACATTGAGCGAGGGGGACCCAACTGTTGGGACCTACAGTTTAAGAAGCTCTGCCCTAGAGTATCACCAAGGATTAACAAAAATATTAACAGAATCAGAGAGACTGTCAAAGAAGTCATATTATGCATCTACTACTGTTTCCTAAGGATGCCATCCAGCAGTTGCTTCAAGTGGTGAGGAGTTTGTATGTTTCAGGGTGAGAGAAAATAGCAGAGGAGACCCTTGGTTGCCAGATATGAAAGGTATATCAAGCACTTCAAAGCAAAAGTAACTCATATTTGCTCAGTACTTGACACTATGATTATTGCAGAGTCTAAGGAACTATCTAGTGTCCCAACTGATCACGGTTCTTAAGATCACTTTAAAATGCCATTAGGTTCAATACATCACCCATCAACCTCAATTGAACAGATTATACCATTTAAATAAAAAGCATTAAGTCTAAGAAATGAGGAAAAATACACACACATTGTTTCAAGGCTCTATACTGACCCTGAGATTTATCCATCTTGCCCTGAAGACCATAAAAGAGGCACATGGTAGGCAGCACAGCACCATTTAAAATTTTCCCAATGTGGACTCAGAACAAAATGGATGCTACATGAGGGGCCCTGTGGCTATTTCAAATGGCAGATCTCACAGTTAAGATTAGAACATCAGCTGGCAAGGAAATTAAGAGGCACCACAAGGAAGGGAATGGTGTCTGCTGACGTCAGGCATGGAGAAGACACAATGAACGTACTGAATTCTTTTTTAGACCTCTTTAAGCAAAGAGAGCTTTGTCTTCATAGCTTTGCTTGTGAAAGAAACTGAGACTCTGTTACCAATCAGCCCTGTCCACTCAACTCTTTAAAATACTGTACTATTAACATAAGGAAACAGTTAATTTCTTGAGATTTAGACCTTGGATACACTCCCAATAGCAAATTACAAAGAAATACAGTGAATGCATATCAGATTACTTCCATGTTGCTTGCTACACACCTGTCTCAGGATCTTGGCCCCTGAGTACTGCTAATCGCTTGGCCACCTCCAGAAGCTTCTCAGCCCTGGTGTTCTCCTCCCTCAACTCAGAAGCAGCCTCTGCCAGAAGTCGGTTCTTTTCCTCCTCCAGCTGTTTGGGATCCAGATCTATAACGCCAGCATTACTGTCGGTCCGATTTAAGTCATTCAAAGTTTGTGTTTCAACTTCTGAAATGCAGAGACATAGAGTGAGTTAACTCATGAACATCCAGCACATAGTAGCTGCACCATTACTTGAAGGTCTAAATCTGCTAAAGAAACTTTGTAGATCAAACAGCATTTATATAATTTGATTAGGCAGTTCACCAGAGAACTGGCTCGACCCTATCTAAGCTTCTGCACTTTAGTTCAGCCCTCCTCCCAGAAACCTTGACACCTTATGGCTAAGGGTATTCCCTCTAGCCTGGCCCATTTGAATTTTTGCACTTTCCTTTGGCTCCACTTAGGAATCATTGCACGTACTTGAGCCCGGACCCAGCTTTGATTTTGTTTTCAGCCATGATATTGTTTTTACGACATTTTTATGATTGTGCTGTGTTTTTAATTTCATTGATTTTAATGTGGCTGTTTTTATCTGTAATTTTTGGGATTGTTCCCTTGTAAGCCATCCCGAGTCCCCTTGGGGAGATGGTGACAGGGTATAAAAATAAGGTTGTTGTTGTTGTTCATTTGTTCAGTCATTTCCTACTCTTCGTGACTTCGTGGACCAGTCCACGCCAGAGCTCCCTGTCGGTCGTCACCACCCCCAGCTTCTTCAAGGTCAATCCAGTCACTTCAAGGATACCATCCATCCATCTTGCCCTTGGTCGGCCCCTCTTCCTTCCTTTTTCCCCAGCATAATTGTCTTCTCTAAACTTTCCTGTCTTCTCATTATGTGGCCAAAGTACTTCATCTTGGCCTCTACTATTCTTCCCTCCAATGAGCAGTCAGGCTTTATTTCTTGAAGTATGGACTGGTTGGATCTTCTCACTGTCCAAGGCACTCTTAGCACTCCAACACCACAGTTCAAAAGCATCTATCTTCCTTCGTTCAGTCTTCCTTATGGTCCAGCTCTCACATCCGTAGGTGACTACGGAGAATACCATTGCTTTAACTATGCGGATCTTTGTTGCCAGTGTGATGTCTCTACTCTTCACTATTTTATCAAGATTGGTCATTGCTCTCCTCTGCGTCTGCAGTAATCTTTGCACCTAGAAATACAAAGTCTGTCACTGCCTCCGTATTTTCTCCCTCTATTTCCTAGTTGTCAATCATTCTTGTTGCCATAATCTTGTTTTTTTTTATGTTTAACTGCAACCCAGCTTTTGCGCTTTCTTCTTTCACCTTGATTAGAAGGCTCCTCAGCTCCTCCTCGTTTTCGGCCATCAAAGTGGTGTCATCTGCATATCTAAGGTTGTTAATGTTTCTTCCAGCAATTTTCAACCCAGCCTTGCATTCCTCAAGCCCCACACATCGCATGATGTGTTCTGCATACAAGTTGTTATCATATCAATAATATCAAGGTTGTTATTATTATATTATTATTATAACCCAATAAAACCATAACATAATTCATTGGAGTCAGTTCATACATTAATGGATTAATAGGGATCGGGTAATGAAATGCAGATTGATCTCCAGCACTGCTTCTTAAACTGTGGGTCTTGATCCCAAATGGGGTCCCCTTAGCTTAATGTTGGGGGTCAAGAAAATTTGGCAACAGTAAAGGGTTTCTGAATGCCACCCATTTACACAAACCTGTTAGCAACATACAATGTTTACAGTGGATTTTGCGGAAAATGCTTCAACTGGACACCACAAAAACAAAAATCAGCCTATTTAGAAAGCCTTGTCAGAAATAGCCCCAGGTTGTAAAGCCTCATGTGTGAAGTTCCAGTATGAAAGCAGCTGTGTGTAAAAACCTACTCTGTGAAGCTCCAGTATAAGTTCAGTGTGAGAGGACACTCTGTGAGAGTGTAGCTATTTATCTGCATGAGGAAGAGGCCCAGCATGGAAGCAAAGAAGGGAGTATAAAGGACTTTATTTGTGTTGTGGAAACTTTGTTACTGTAAATAGTGCAACTATATTATTTTACTACAACGAAAAGCCTATGGAAGAGAGAACATTGGTCTGTGTTTTTTTAAAATCACTTTGGGCTACTAGTGCTGGGTCATGCTGCTGCTAATAAGTTACTCTGTTGTACATTTAAGCGAAGGGTCTTTTGTTAATAAGGCCCAACAAGCCTAGCGATTGCTTGTTTTATTACCAGTAAATGTAATAAATGTATTTTATGCACCTATAAACCTGGAGTCATGTAAAAAAAAAATCAGATGGAAAAGGGTTGCAAGTGGAAAAAGTTTAAGAAGCCCTGCTTTACATGGCGGGCGTTTACCTATGATCTTTTTTTGAAAAAGACACTAAAATATATAACACTGAACAAATGAAATGAAAGATACAAAGGAGCAACAGTAGCAATATGTAGCATTTATAGCAAATTTTCATAGAATACTTGTTTTGCCCAGGAAACGAGAGACAGGGCCTTTTCTGTGGCAGCCCCCCAGCTATGGAACTCTCTCCCGATTGAGATCAGATCTGCCCCCTCCCTCCTGACCTTCAGGAAGCTAGTGAAATCCTGGCTATGGAACGAGGTATTCCCAGAATGATGGCGGAGACTGGCAACTGACTAAAGTTATCGACCACATATGCAGATTGAGTAGGACATGATTTTATCTTGACGAACTGGCTTTTATGTATTTTAGTCTATATGTATTTTAATTTATTGTTGATGTACGATGTTTTAGATTGTATTGTTAGCATTGAATCCTTGCTGTTAGCCGGTCTGAGTCCCTCTACGGAGGTAGAGAAGATCAGGATACAAAAGTTTTAAATAAATAATAAAGAAAGAAAGAAACAAACAAACAAACAAACAAAATGGCTTCGTTGAAGAATTGGCCATTTTGCATGTTTTCAATGGAAACCAGCTGTCTAATGAAAATGTGGATTAAACTAAAAAAAATTATATTATTTCTCTTCTGAAAAATGAATCTTGCAGCATACAGAGCTATGGAGATCAGGTGCATAGTACTAATGATAAGAACTCAGTATGGACTCTTTAAATGTTGGGAAATGAATAACTGTAGAAGTCACATTTACAGAAAGAGAAGTGTCAACAAACGTTTAACATGGGGAACCATATGTTTAAATTAAATCATTGGGCTCCTAGATTATGACTATTGTTATGATTGCTGTTCTCTCACACACACTTGCACACATATGAACAAACAAGGAGATCTAAACTTGCTTCTTCCTCTACATTCAAGAGATTCCAAAAAAACTGAGCCAGGATGAAAAAAAAAATCAGAAACCTCGAGGTGTAATTCCTGAGCCGCCATTCTCATCAATGGCAACTTCCTCGGCCATCTGGTTCAATAGATCTTCTGACTGTTCAGCTTGTGTGCGGTTGTTAGAGAGCTGATGCACCTAACAAGAGTAAGGAAGACATTCAGAGACAGCCATCTTGGGAAGGTATCTGAAGGCACCAAACAGGTCCAGCTATGCCAAAGACCTGGAGATAGACATGCAAAAAAGTCCCTGTTCCATCCCCAGTATCTTAAGGTAAGGCTGGGAAATACCCCCGTCTGAAACTATGGTGAAGCACTCCTATATTACATTACTATTTAGATTTTATAAGTCAAACTGAATTATTTCTAATCCTGTTAGATTGCTCTGTTTTAATTATATTTCCTATGCTATTATACATTTTCATCCACCTTGTTGAACCAATTACTCTTTAATCAGCTTGTATTTTGCCCCCCCCCCCCCCGCTTAGTTATTTTGTTGCTTGATGTTTGTCTATTATTGTTATGTTTGTTTTATGCTTTTAAATTGCATTTTGTTATTGCTCTGCTTTTAATTGTATGTTCCCTGGGCTTAGCCCCATGTAAGCTGCCCCGAGTCCCTTCGGGGAGATGGGAGGGGGTAGAAAAATAAAGTTCTTCTTCTTCTAATCAGTACACTGTGGGCAAAATTGAGCTTGGTCTGATTCATTATAAGCCATATTCAAGACCTATTTCATACCAACTCAATATATCTTCAGCCTTATTTATATAGTTAATAAGGACTCAAAACATGAAGATTAAGGCAGATTAAATTAGTGGACCAAAGACAATGATAGTTTGGCTATAAAACCTCAGTCAGCAGCCTTGCAATCTGAGTATTACTATGCAATTATATGGCCCTGCTCATGAAAGCTTGCTTTGATCCAAGGAGGTATTTTAAACAGAAGGCTTAAAATGATATTTCCATCAGTTTCCCTTTTCTATGCATCCCCCAGAGGAAGTGCCTCTTTGAGAAATTGTAAAAACCATCTCCCTCTTTCTTCCACTTATGGATGCCACCTCTGAAGCACAGGGCATTACAGGAATGGAAAGGACAAAAATGGATCCAACCCCAAGATGTGAAGTTGAAGTATCAAGAGACCTTCTGACAATATTCAGTGTAATTAAAGCAAGGGCACACCATCTGTGACCAAGGATTGTATGGACACAAAACTAATGGGTCTCACCTACTTTTCCCCACAGATATTGCCACTTGATATAACAGGCATGGGCAAACTTCAGCCCTCCAGGTGTTTTGGACTTCAACTCTCACAATTCCTAACAACCTCAGGCCTTTTCCTTTCCCCCCTCAGCCGCTTAGACATAAGGGCTTAATGTTAACAAGTGTTCTGAATGGAATGCCTCAGGAAGTGTGAATTCCCTTTACTGGTGGTAAACAAACTGGATGGCTGGGTGTCAGCAGTGCTTGAGGTCCCTTCCACATTTCCAATTCTATGATTCTATGATGGCATGAGAGACACAGTAGCAAAACTGAAGAAACAACATTTGACTTCTATTTTTATTTTTTATTTTTTTGCTGTTGCATCTTGACTTCACAAAATAATCTGTCTCAAAAAAGATAGGACAAAAACAAAGCTCAATAACACGTTCCCCTCACTCAAAAACAGATATGTCTCAACTGATCTGAGAAACACAACTCCAAGTGGCTCTTAAAATAGCTACAAACAAAATAAATGTACACGTTCTTGTATTACAGCTTCCAGAATCTCCCAGATACAGGCCATGAGGTCTAGGGTTGTGTGTCTGTGTGTGGCAACAACCGTACACAAGAAGCAACTTTTCCAAGACAAGAACATACTTGTTAATCCATTAAAATTTATTTCTAGCATAAATATACGTTTGGATCAATAATATCCTAACAGTACATATGATAGATTCCAAGTAGGTATATACAAAGAGAGAATCTTACTGGTTGTACAGCTGCAGAGGGAAGCGTTCTGCCCTGCAAGGCTGCCAGGCGGTCTTCCATTTCCTGGGCCGACGGAACAGGTCTTGCAGGATCACTTTTCAGTGCCGCCAGCCTAGATTCTATCTCAGCCTGGGAAGGAATGGACTCTGCCCATTTAAAACAAATATGTTTACTCGAGGTGTCCAAAAGACTTTAATATACAGTAGTCCCTCTTCTATCTTGGGGATTGGGGTGCAGGAACCCCATAAAAGTGGAAAAACCACAAATAACAAATCCACTTTATTTATTTATTTCGAGTACTTCTACCCCGCCCTTCTCAACCCCCGAGGGGGGACTCATGGCGGCTTACAAAAGGCACAATTTGATGCCTACACAGTAATACATATACGTATAAAACAGCAATTAAAACAATTATAACAGTTAAAACAATCAATATATAACACAATCAATAAAACTAATCTCATGCTCAGTGTTCGTCCGCCAGAATCATGCTGAATGACCTACAAATGAATAGAGAAGAGTTCTTGCTAGGAAACTAACTCCTCCAGCATGACACTATGGTCCACTTCATGTGGAGATTAACCATACAGTCACACCGGAAGTGTTAGAGATTCCGAAAGAGAACATATTGATCAAATGTGTAGATTTTTTTTTCATGTCAGGAGCGACTTGAGAAACTGCAAGTCGCTTCTGGTGTGAGAGAATTGGCCATCTGCAAGGACGCCCAGATGTTTTACCATCCTGTGGGAAGCTTCTCTCATGTTCCCACGTAGGAAGATGAAGCTGACAGATGGGAGCTCACCCCGCTCCCCACATTTGAACCATCAACCTTTCGGTTAGCAGTCCTGCCAGCGCAGGGGTTTGACCCATTGCGCCACCGGGGACTCAAAATATGTAGATAATCAAATCTGAAAAAGTGAAACCTGCATATGTAGAGGGCCAACTGTTGCTTTATTTATTCACATTTAAACCAGTGGTATAGTGGTACATTCCAAAGTGCAGGAGTTCATTGTGGTTGAACATACCCACATGAATCAAAATACAATGAACTGATGGCAGTATAAAATATATTACCCAGATTACTGAATCAGCATACACCTCAGAGCAATCGGTACTTAATTCACTGGTGTGTGCTTACTTCTGACTGCATAAATTCAAAGTGGATCATTTGGAGCCACTTACATGTTGACTCACAATTCAACAATCAATTCAATGGATTTACAATAATTGGGAATAAACAACAAATTTGACCAGAATGTACTTCCACAGAACGATGTCAATTTAGTGCCTCTAATCTGTATGTTTTTGTATTTGAATACAGCTTCATAAGCAGATAACAATCGATCAATTGCCTGCTAACTGTGGAGGCAGGACAAAGTTATTCAAAATGTTGAAACTCCACCTGCTGACCACTGGAAACATGCCAATCTAAGTTTTTGAGGTTACATGTAACACTGCCCACACATGAAGTAATGTCTCTGAAACCAAAAGGGCTAGACACCAGCTTAAAAAATAAACACAAGTCATAAAAACAGAAGAGCTACTAAAATACTTCTTACACTGTCATCATGATGATGCAACTATTAGATTCTTCTTCTATGCAGCAATTCCAGGAGTGCCAGAACTACATATAGCCTTGCCTATGGATCTTAGATGCCAGTACAGTGCAAGCATGTGTTAAACACAATGGGAATAGTCAGCTAATATGGAGGAGACAACAAAATTATGGGGGCAGTTTTAAACAAAACAGTATCTACAGTATAAAACAATAGCACCTTTTGTGAATGCTTGGACACAATATGTCATGCATCTGAGACTGACTAGCATGTGTTCATTTATATGGTTCACAATCTTGCCACATTCTGTTATGCTGTTTCAAGACCAGACCTAGACATAGGATGAGGACAATTCCTCCTCTGCCCCTGAATAGATGGATATAAAAGTAGGGAATTCCTTTTAATGTTTCACCTGAAAAAGATTTTCAGTAGGGCTGGATGGAATAAGACTCCATTCAGTGGTGCAATACTTACTCGGCCTTGTCTCCTTCTTGAGCCTTTCCAATCTCTCTGCTAGAACTCGGTCCTCTTTGGACAGCCCTTGGTATCTGGAGTCTGTTTGGCTTTGAGATTTCACCAAGTTCCTCTGAAGGCCCTGGGGCTGGCTCTGCTTAGTCTCAAGAGCTGCTATGCGTCTACAAAAAACAGAACCCTATATGCATTAAAAGCATACAAGACTCTTTTCTGTGTGCTTCTCTAAGAGTGGTCTCTTTTGCAAGCACACTATTTAAGCACCATAGAGTCAATTGATGGCTTGCACAAATGAGCCACCATAGATCAAACACTATAAACAAGAGGGGTCCCCCCCCCCATATTGTAAAATAGATCAAACTCTATCAAGTTCTTTCACACAATTATCAGGAATCATAAAGGTTCCAGCAACCAAAGATGTGTAAACCAGTATTAAAAGATAAATTATTTAGATGAAGACTAACCATGTAATAAAAGAATATGCAGCCAAGTAAACATGCATATGTGTATGCATACTCACACATGTGGAAAAAGCACAGCTGTTTTGACAAGAAATAAGAGCTGCTACTTTAGCAGCAAAGTTATTTTAAATAAGATAAAGATAGCCATATAAACGTTGCAACCTTTATATGATTGTTTGAAATCTGTCATAGGCAAGACAAAAATGGCATAGACATTTTTCCACTCAGTGAATGGATTATCAAAAATATTGTCTTAACCTAATTCAAAACAGAGACCATCTAGAGAATGAGAACACAGACACATACTATTTTGCAATATGTAGCAAGATCGAAGGTGGGGGATATAAACACTCACTTTTTATAATTCTGTGGTGGGGACCATTTAGCTGGGTTGGGTTTTGATGGTCCACTGGAAAGTAAAACAAGAAACATGATCAGGGTAGAACGTGAAGCTAGTGTTTATGATGGCAAGTAATGGCCGCAGCCCAAGCCCCATCTTGCACCCAGGCCTAAGGAGGCCACTATGATCAGGGCTAATCCAAGTCATTTTGTTACCTGAATTACATAGGATGGAGTCCTCCCTAACTTCCACTAACAAAAGTCAATTGGACTCTCGGATGAATCACATTCTGGCAAGAGGAGTCTGATAGTGGAATAGCCTCCTTCAGAAGATGGTGGATTCTTTTTCAGTGGAGCTTTTTAGAGATTAAATGGCTATGTCTCAGGGGTGTTTGGTGGTGGATACCTGTTCTGGTTTTGGGTTGGACTTGCTGACCCTTGTGACCCTAGTTTCAATACAACAGGACAACATCCACTACTGTAACTGAAGGCTGAAGACAAGCTTGAGGGAAAAGACCAAGTCATATATGGCACAGACAGCCCTGTTTGTCAGCAGCTGCTGCCAGCTGAGGCAGCCACCCCACTCTACCTAAAGAGGGCTTTACCAGACTGCAATACTCTGCATATTTCTCCAAAACACAAAGTAGGTTGGTAAATCTGTTTCATAATGTATTTTACTTCAGTTTATCATGAGAAATGTTATGTAGCTGAATGTGCCATGATACAAAAGCAAACCATTCTCCCAGCCAGTCTCTGGATTTAGAAAACTAGTTGCCAAGGAGTTCTAACCTAATTTCTATTCTGCTATACCAATGTTCTGCAGACAGACATCTCTTTCATTTAAAAAAGAATGGCAATACACATGCAAACTAAAATGTCAATGCCCAAAAACAGTTTACCTCCTTATCTTCCGTTCATGAAATGGAGATGTCAGTATTAGATTACAGTCAGATACTAACACTACTGTATCATCATCATTATTGTTATTATTTCATCTACCGTATATACTTAAGTATAAGCCAACATGAATATAAGCCAAGGCATCTAATTTTACCACAAAAACTGGGAAAGCGTACTGATTCGAGTATAAGCCAAGGGTGGGAAATACAGCAGCTACTGGTAAATTTTGAAATAAAAATAAATACCAATAAAATTACATTAATTGAGGCATCAGTAGGTTACATGTTTTTGAATATTTACATAAAACTGTAATTTAAGATAAACTAGAGAGTAAAATAATAAATGTACTGATAATAATAGAGAAAAATAAATGTAATAATAATAAAACTAATAGAGTAAAATAATGTAAATGTAAGAATTATAATAATAGAGTAAAATAATAAATATAATAAATATAATAATAACAGAGAAAAATAATAAATAACTTTGACTCGTGTATAAGCCGAGGGGTTTTTTTCAGCCTAAAAAAAGGACTGAAAAACTCAGTTTATACTGGAGTATATGTGGTATATACTCTCTTTTTCCACCAAACTGGGAGTCAAGTCAACTTATAAATTACCAATGAAATGTTCCTAAATTGTGGTGGAGTATCAACATTTATTTCCCCCAAGTGGCTGGCAGAAATGCTAAAATGGCAGATTAACATAGGTGAAAATTTGCTTTAATAAAAGCCAACCTGGCACTCTATCAATCTGAACTATGGTTCTAGTCTTACCCTGTTAATTCCCCATGGCACTGCTTGCAAACCTTCTGTTGCGTGTTTCCACAACGGGGAACAACGGCACTGAATCCAAGGCACCCTGAGCAAAATAACCGGCCACAGTTCTTGCATCCACACTGAGAAAAGAAGTGGGAGAGGAATGAGAAAACAGGCCCTCTTAGCAACCAACTGCTGTCATACTGAAAAATCTGCACAGCTCCTACTTGCACAGCATCCACTAACTAGACATGTACTGTAAATTTATAGTGGACACTTTGATTCTTTTCTGAATTTTAAGAAGTAAATAATACATTTTCACATACACAGTTGCTTTCCAACAGTAACTGGGGGGTCACAAGTTATTCCTCTGTAAATAGAAATTTACACCTCTCTCACACACACACACACACATACAATGATATGGTTCTTTTGACAAAAAAAATCAGAGGAGGTTTCCCACTGCTATCTTCTTAGCTGAGAAAGTGTGACTTGTTCATGTTCAGTCAATGGGTTTCCAATGCCAAGTCCTAGGGCCCCTCCACACAGTCATATAGCCCAGAATATCAGGCAGGAAATCCACAATATCTGCTTTGAACTGGGTTATCTAGTCCTGGGCCCCCTGGTGGTGCAGCAGGTTAAACTGCTGAGCTGCTGAACTTGCTGACTGAAAGGTCATAGGTTCAAATCTGGGGAGCGGCGTGAGCTCCCACTGTTAGCCCCAGCTTCTGTCAACCTAGCAGTTTGAAAACATACCAATGTAAGTATTATTTATTATTTATTTACGACATTTATATGCCGCCCTTCTCACCCCGAAGGGGACTCAGAGTGGCTTACAACATACTACATACTACATAATACATAACTAGCATAGTACTATTACATCATTCATAACACTAGTACTACATAATATTACATTATTGCTAGGGGAGGGGTACCGCTTCTGTGGGAAGGTAACGGCACTCCATGCAGTCATGCTGGCCACATGACTTAGGAGATGTCTACGGACAATGCCCGCTCTTCAGCTTAGAAATTGAGATGGGCACCACCAGCCAGAGTTGGATATGACTAGACTTAATGTCAAGGGGAAACCTTTACCTTACCTTTATCTGATTCCCACTGCCATATATCCCAGTTCAAACCAGATAATGTGGGATTTTATTCAGCTGTGTGGAAGGGGCCCAAATCACTACATCACACTTTTCTTTCTCTCTCTTCCATACATATGTATGTACAGAGATAGAAGTTGATTGCCAGTAACATTTATACAGCCTATATCACATAGTACAAAGAAACATCTCTTTAGCATTAACAAGCTTGCAGATACAGCCTTCAATTCTTTATTTAAAAGTTTATAATCTTTACTTTGTATGTATGGTATGTGATAAATGTCAACACTGGATACAGCTTTCCTTGAAGAAACTATGAATAACAATCAGCATTAAAGTACTTATTATTATCTCACAGTATTGAGAAATATTTTGAAAGAAGTTTGGTGTCATTCCTGAAGTTTAAAGCAGCATATACTGTATGCAGTTCTTTAAACTTCAAAGAGAAAGTAGAGTCAAGTCATCTTCTCCAGCCCCAAAAAGTCCCTGTTAAATTTATACAAAATAGAGAACTGAATATGATAGGCACTGTCTTGGAGCTAAATAATCATAATAATAATCATAATAAACTTTATTTATACCCTGCCACCATCTCCTCAAAGGGGACTCAGGGCAGCTGGGGTAAATCGCATTCACCTCTAAATTCAACATAATTATCACCAGAATAGCCAAGTGACATAAAATGTGTGATGCACAAGTGATGAAAAAGTTGGTGACTTGAGCTCTGGCAAACTATTCTGGAATGCTGGTCAAACTCTCAGGTCTCAAGACAACGGTGATGAATGTTTGATGCTTACATATCTTATGGCAAAATTATCAAAGAAGAACTTGCCTGCTTCTTGAAGACATTGAACTTTGATGCACAGCCATAACATCTGCTATCCATAGTCTCAAGATGAGGTAGCACATTCAGTTCTCACAAAAAGCACAAATGGAGACACATGATTCTACAGTTTGTACACAGCTATCCCAGTTTCAAAGAGGAAACAAAAATGGATAAATAAATGTACAGTTATGAATATTAGCAATGGATCACTGAAAACATGGTTTGCTATGGAAATTATACTCTTGTGCTCATTCAGCTGATTAAGACTTTGCCTAATCAGAATAAATAATAATTATTAATTTATACAGTAACATAGGAGGAACTCAGGCTAATTCTGAAATGCAAAATGAATACAGAATTTTAAGATGGAAATAGGTTTGGGATTATGTTATTGTTTTTTTTAAAAAAATACTTAAAATGCTCTTATTTTAGTGAGCCTTCTCAAGTGAAGGAAAACAAAACTCAATTTTCCTAAACTACAGAATTTCAAGGAGTCCCAGCCCAAGATATTTTGCTGCCTGAGACAAAGTAGCATATGGCACCCTCAATATCCATCCAATACAGGAAATATAGCACTTAAAGTCAGCCAAGTTATTTGGCCGAACGTATCTCAGCCTATCAGCCCACCAGGACCCTAAGATCTTCTGGAGAGTCCCTTCTCTCTATCCCTCCAGCTTCAGAAGTGCGGCTGGCAGGAACGAGAGACAGGGCCTTCTCTGTGGTGGCCCCCCGGCTTTGGAACACCCTCCCTATAGAGATACGATCAGCCTCTTCGCTGATGGTGTTTAGGAAGAGATTGAAAACATGGTTGTTTAACCAAGCATTCGGCTAATCTGTGGCAATCGAACTTTGGTGACTAAGGACAGGAAAATATGGACAACGAATTCTGGATTATGATTTTAATTCGAGATACATGGGATTATTATTGGTGGCCCAATAATCTGTACTGTATGTGTATATGTTTTTAAATTGGAGACTGTTTTTTTAATTGCTGTAAACCGCAATGAGTCGCCGATCCAGGCTGAGATATTAGCGGTATACAAGTGTATTAAATAAATAAAATAAATAAATAAATAAATATTTTCCAATGTAAGGTAGAAAAGCACTGCTTTTTCTCCCTTACAGTAAAAATACTTTTTTGCCTTTCATGTTGCTCAAATCTGCTGCATGAGTCAGCCATCTCACCCACCCAAACTTAGTTTGCCATATGCAGTTTCCATTGGGAACAGCATCCCATAAATTCTGAACTGTCTGAATCCAACAATTAGTCCCAAAAAAAAACAGACCCACTGAATCAATCACAGCCTCTGAGGATGCTTGCCAGAGATGCAGGTGAAATGTCAGGAGATAATGCTTCTAGAACATGGCCATATAGCCTGAAAAACCTACAACAATCCAAAGTAAATAATAAACATAAATTAATAAATATGATATGTTATATAGAACATCTATATAAACCCCATTGACTCAGTGGGACTGCTACACGTGACACTAAGAAATATTTTAACTACATTCTTTGATCATCACCATCCATAATGGGTAGCAAACACAGGCATAGAGGCTGTACTGATGAGATGAGAAAAGCAAGTTGGAAATGTACTTTTCCTTTCTCTCTTAAAGCGGAGTGCCATTAGCACATCACCCATTGTTTGTGCAATACTAAAGAACAGACTTCTAGAGGCAAAGGTCACTTTAAAAGCTCCCAGAAATAATATATTACTTTTCTGCTCTCCCCTCAAGGTATGTAGAGGACTAAAATGTTTTTATGTCATTTTAACTTCACAATACTTTTTCTAAAGCATTTTAGCGGACACACTAAGAGGATATCCACATCCCACATTTCAATACCAATTTAACTATATTGTTTCCATATTATGGAATCCTAAGATTTGTAAATGTGAAGATGTTTAGGAGAGATGACAAGACTTCTTGCAGAGACTTATAAGTCCCTTCCAAAACTCCAAAAGATAGAATCCATAGGATAGAATCATCCATAGGATAGAATCATCACGTTAAAAGTGGCTTAAGACTGCTATAAGTGCACAGTACAGATACCGTATGTCTTCCGAGTATCGTATAGTAGAGATCTGAATGTATGATTCCCAAAACTCTTTATTATTTTAGTTGTCCAAAACGTTTATTTATTTCTTACTTTTAAAACAAAATGCACCTAGATTTGTAACCACCAGTTGAAATATTGAACTTATTTTTCTTTCTGAAGGCATACTGGACACAGATATTTCTCTGTGGATTCTGTTCCACTATAACCTCCCCTCTCTGCATGGTTATCCCTTCTTTTTCCTCTTTTGAGCAAAACTAAAAGCAGGAGGGATGGAAATGGTGATGATGATACAGGTATTCTTTATCCAGAATTCCAAAATCTTAATTGTTCTAGTATTTAAAATTGCCCACATAGGTGACACCTTTGCCTTGCTATGGTCCAGTATACACAAACTTTGATTCCATCTACTCTGACCACTTAGCTGTGTGATAACATGAGAAAAGGCAGTGATTTCACAGGGAGCAATGAGAGAAATATGTCATTTCAGGTGAGGGGTCTATCAATTCCAGAGCAGGGGAAGTCATAGGGAGGAGGGAGCAAGCTTGTTTTCTGCTGCCCTGGAGACTAGGACATGGAACAATGGCTTCCAACTACAAGAAAGGAGATTCCACCTGAACATTAGGAAGAACTTCTTAACTGTGAGAGTTGTCTAGCAGTGGAACTCTCTGCCCCAGAGGTGGTGCAGGCTCCTTCTTTGGAGGCTTTTAAGCAGAGGCTGGATGGCCATCTGTCAGTGGTGCTTTGAATTCGACTTTTCTGCTTCTTAGCAGGGGGTTGGACTGGATGGCCCACAACTCTATGATTCTAAGTGGGATCCTTTGGTCCCTGAATCAGACTGCCTTTGAAGATTTTAGTCAGCAAAGCAATCAGAGGACTGCGGAGACTCATGGGTGCCCACAAGAGTCCACATGGTTAGACATAGTCTTGGAATGAGTTTGAGGCCTGTATGGGACTTGTATGCATAGAAGACGCTGCCTTGAACAGCTTCAAGTATCCGCAATATCCATGGCTTCATGGCCATGGTAGAATGGGGGGGGGGGTCCCCACACATACCTCACTGGAGCACTTGTCCCTGATGGGTCTCGCCATGTGAAATGAGGGCCTTTTTGGTGGTTGATCCCAAAATGTGGGACTCCCTCTCAAGAGAGACCAGAATGGCCCTTTCCTGCTTACCTTTCGCAAGCAGGTCAAGACCTTTCTGTGTCAGTAGGCCTTTGGGAGAGGATGGGGGGCACGCTGCTGGGGAGGTTGTGGGTGGGATTGTGAATTTTAGATATAATTTTAATTGTATTTATTATATTTTAACTGCATTTTTAAACATAAATCCATGCAGTATTATTTAATTCTTTGTTTGTTTTTGCTTTGTTTTAAATTGTGACCAGATTGTGTGGTTGTTAGATGCCTTAAGTCCCCAAGGTGAGAAAGTAAGTAATAAACAATAATAAAATAATATTGTCAAAGGCTTTCGTGGCTGGAATCACTCAGTTCTTGTGGGTTTTTTCGGGCTATATGGCCATGTTCTAGAGGCATTTCTCCTGACGTTTCGCCTGCATCTATGGCAAGCATCCTCAGAGGTGCGGTCCTCTGAGGATGCTTGACATAGATGCAGGCGAAACGTCAGGAGAAATGCCTCTAGAACATGGCCATATAGCCCGAAAAAACCCACAAGAACTGAATAAAATAATAAATAATAAACAAAGTAAATAACTGTCGAAGGCTTTCATGGCTGGAATCACTGGGTTGTTGTAAGTTTTTCAGGCTATATGGCCATGTTCTAGAAGCATTCTCTCCTGACATTTCACCAGCATCTATGGCAAACATCCTCACAACCTCTGAAGATGCTTGCCAGGGACGCAGGCAAAATGTCAGAAGATAATGTTTCTAGAACACGGCCATATAGCCTGAAAAACCTACAACAATCCAAAGTAAATAATAAACATAAATTAATAAACATGATATATTAACACTGAGGCATGTTGGTGTGCATTAAGGGCTCTCTTTTAGAGCATTCCCTGACTTCTTTGCTTCTCCCTTCTCTTAATTGTGGAGAATATGTCATGTAAACATCACTCTGTCAAGCTGTAGTCAGACTGCATTAAGTGGGTCAGTATAAGTGTGCCATTTGCTTCATGCACAAAAATGATTCCAAATATGGTGTATAAAGTTAACTTCAGGCTATGTGTATAAATGAATTTCATGTTTATACTCTGGTCTCATTTTTTTAAAAAAAATCACAATATTTATGTATTGGTAAGCACAGTTCTGGCCCTGCTTACCTGTCCGAACGTATCTCTCCTTACGAACCCTCTAGGAATTTAAGATCTTCTGGGGAGGCCCTGCTCTCGGTCCTGCCATCTTCACAGGCTCGATTGGCGGGGACGAGAAACAGGGCCTTCTCAGTGGTGGCCCCTCAGTTGTGGAATGCCCTCCCCAGGGACATTAGACCGGCCCCCACCCTCTTAACGTTTCGCAAAAAAGTCAAAACCTGTCTATATGAGCAGGCTTTTCCAAACACAGTGTAGCTGTTAAACTCTCATCTTGGAACGGTTGGATAATGATTGGTAATGAAATGAGGACTTATGGTTTTTATTATGTTTTATTAATGTTATTTGTAATGAAGTTTTATCTATGTTATACGTTTTTAATGTTTAATTATCTCTGTATTGCTGTGGGCCATGAGTTGCCCTTGGGCTGAGAATGACGGTATAGAAATATAGCAAATAAATAAATAAATAAAATTACTCCAAAATGCAATAAAAATCCAAAACCCAAAGCATTGTAAAGAAACATTATCAATTATCAATAATAAATAAACATTAGTATTATGGTCCCAAGCATTTCAAATAAGACTCTACTGAACTGGGGGAGTGGGCCAGATGAGTCAGCTCTTCAGCCCTGGAAATGAAGGCAGAATTGAAGGGTTCATATTATTATTATTATTATTATTATTATTATTATTATTATTATTAATGCCCCACTTCCTTCTATTAAAGGGGGCTCAAAGAGGCCCCCAACACCAAAAGCAGTACAAATTACAATGTAAAACCCGGAACATAGAAACATTAAAATAGAACTGCTGTAGTTTTCCTTCAGTGGCATGAAGCAGAGGCCCTCCTTGGAAAACCAAGGCCAGACTCCATACAAACCCACCGTTATGGAGATGGAAATGATGTTTCACTAAGGTTAAAGGGACTCAGGTCCTCCCCACCTGATACAGAAGGCAGCAGTCTATCCTAATTTAGACTTGGGTGCCTTTTTTAGCCCTCCCTCGGCATCTCTCAGTGAAACCCGCCATCCCCCCAGAGCTAAGGCGAGAGCAATACTCACTCACATCCCTCCTGTGGTCTCCCCCGCGAAGGAAGAGGCGTCGGAGGAACTACACTTCCCAGGAACCCCCGCGCGGTGGCTGCCGGGAGCTCCCGAGGCTTCTCTTCCGAAGCGTCACGTGAGTCCCTTGACGGCGGGAGGAGGAGGAGGGCCGCGAGGGCAGGAGGAAAAGCATGACGGGAATTGTAGTCTTGATTCCAATCGCCCTCCTATAGCGAAGGGTCGGGAAAAGACTACGTTTCCCAGGCGCAAAGGGTCCGTCGCGAGCTCCGGAGTGTTTGAGGGAGGAGGAGGGGAGAGGAGAGTCAACTGTTACCGTTTGGACGGAGAAGTACAAGAGGAAGAAGGCATGGCGGTGGATAAGGAGCTGCTGGAGCTGGACCTGTATGCTCTGCTGGGCGTCGGCGAGAAGGCGGCGGATAAAGAGGTCAGACGGGCGGGAAAGGCCCATCCCCGGAGGGCTGAGGGGTACGCTTGGGGCCCAGGCCTGCTTTTCTCCCTGGCCTCAGTTTCAGGCAAGGCCCATCTCGAGTGTGGCAGTTATTGGACTCCCAACAACATCTGGAGTGCCAGCAGTTGCCCGCCCTTCGTCTTACACTTGCTGTATACACCTGGGGAGCCTCTAGGCCAGTGTTTCTCAACCTGGGGGGTCGCGAGAGGGTGTCAGAGGGGTCGCCAAAGACCATCAGAAAACACAGTATGTTTTTGTTGGTCATACGGGTTCTGCATGGGAATTTTGGCCCAATTATATTGTTATAGGATTCAGAATGCTCTTTGATTGCAGGTGAACTGTAAATCCCAGCAACTATAACTCCCAAATGTCAAGGACCATTTTCCCCAAACTCCACCAGTGTTCATATTGCGGCATATTGAATATCCGTGCCAAGTTTGGTCCAGATTCTTCATTGTTTGAGTCCACAGTGCTCTCTGGGTGTAGATGAGTCCATCTAAACATGAGGAAGAACTTCCTGACGGTGAGAGCCGTTCAGTAGTGGAACTCTCTGCCCTGGAGTGTGGTGGAGGCTCCTTCTTTGGAAGCTTTTAAACAGAGACTGGATGGCCATCTGTCATGGGTGATTTGAATGCAATTTCCTGCTTCTTGGCAGGGGGTTGGACTGGATGGCTCATGAGGTCTCTTCCAACTCTTTGATTCTATGATTCTATGAGTATAGTGGAGTATAATGTCTAGATCCAGGGAAGTCTTGCTACTCCTCTATTCTGCCTTGGTTAGACCACACCTGGAATATTGTGTCCAATTCTGGGCACCACAATTAAAGAGAGATATTGACAAGCTGGAATGTGTCCAGAGAAGGGCAATTAAAATGATCAAGGGTCTGGAGAACAAGCCCTATGGAGAGTGGCTCAAAGAACTGGGCATGTCTAGCCTGAAGAAGAGAAGGCTGAGAGGAGACATGATAGCCATGTATAAATACGTTAGAGGAAGTCATAGGGAGGAGGGAGCAAGCTTGTTTTCTGCTTCCCTGGAGACTAGGATGCGGAATAATGGCTTCAAACTACAAGAAAGGAGATGCCATCTGAACATTAGGAAGCACTTCCTGACTGTGAGAGCTGTTCAGCAGTGGAACTCTCTGCCCCGGAGTGTGGTGGAGGCTTTTAAAGAGGCTGGATGGCCATCTGTCGGGAGTGCTTTGAATGCTATTTTCCTGCTTCTTAGCAGGGGGTTGGATTAGATGGCCCATGAGGTCTCTTCCAACTCTGATTCTATGAACTACATTTCCAATACTCAAGGTCAATGCCCACCAAACCCTTCCAGTATTTTCTGTTGGTCATGGGAGTTCTGACTGTCAAGTTTGGTTCAATTCCATTGCTGGCGGAGTTCAGAATGCTTTTTGATTGTAGGTTAACTATAAATCCCAGCAACTACAACTCCCAAATGACAAAATAAATCCCCCTTCCCCAACCTGACCAGTATTCAAATTTGGGCATATTAGGTATTTGTGCTGAATTTGGTCCAGTGAATGAACATACATCCTGCATATGGGATATTTACATTACGATTCATAACAGTAGCAAAATTACCATTATAGAGTAACAATGAAGATAATTTTATGGTTGGGGTCACCAGAACACGAGTAACTGTATTAAGGGGTTGTGGCATTAGGAAGGTTGAGAATCACTGCTCTAGGCAGTAAAATTAATCCAATTTGACAGAACTTTAACTGCAAGGCTCAGTGCTATGGAATCATGGGAGACGTAGGTCTATGGTCTTTCCTGCCAAAGACTGCTCACACCTCACCAAACTACAATTCTCATGATCTCATAGTATTGAGCCATAGCAGTTAAAAGGTGTCAAATTGCATTAATTCTACACTGTCAGTGCACCCCTCAGATTCATAGAGACACATGGCCCAGCCAGACACTATATTCCAGGATCTGATCCCAGATTTTCTGTTTATCCCAGATTATCTGGCAATGTGGACTCATATAACCCAGTTTAAAGCCAAAAGCCCAGTTTGGGGGTGATTCTGGACTCCTCCTTAAATCTGGAAGTCTAGGTGGCAGAGATAACTAGGATATCCTTTGCACAATTAAAACTTGTGTGCCAAATGCACGCGTTCCTGGAGAAATCAGACCTGGGCACTGTGGTACATGCTTTGGTGACATCCCGATTGGAATACTGTAACACACTCTGTGTGGGGCTGCCCTTGAAGACAGTTCAGAAACTCCAATTCTTTCAGACAACAGCAGCCAGGCTGTTAACAGGAGCTGAGGTAAGAGATCACACTACTCCACTGCTGAAACAGCTTCACTGGCTACCCATTAGTTTCCAGGTCCAATTCAAAGTGCTGGTTTTGGCCTTTAAAGCTCTACATGGCCTTGGTCCAGGCTACCTGAGATAGCTCCGCTACATCCCTGGGAGATCTCTTAAATCCAGTGAGGAGATCCTGGTGTCTACAACAACTGGGAAGGCTTCTTCTCCGGGTCTCGGCCTCTAATATGGAATGCCCTTCAATTGGAGATTAGATCCACCATACACTGCTCTGGTTTGGAAAAAAGTCTCAAAACATTCTTTTCAAGAAAGCTTTCGGCTGATTGGATTTATTGATATAAGTAGATGATGGCACTCTGGTGGCTTTTAGGAACCCTTGTTTTAGGATTTTTAGTTTTATGTTAATACACAGGCTTTAATGTTTTTCAGCACTGTAAAATATTTAGTTTTATTGTGTATTATGTTTTCTTTTAATATTTGTATTGTGTGTATTTTATAAATGCTGTTAGCTACCTTGGGCCCTTGAGTAGGGAAAGACAGGATAAAAATAGTCTAAATAAATAAAATAAAATAAACAAATAAAGCAGAAAACCTGGGGTCAGATCCTGGGCTATAGGGCCTGCCTGGGAAAGCCCACAGAATGATAGAGTTGATGCGAGGTATCCCATGGTAGCATAAAAGTTATTTCCTAATTGTAATACAATAAATTATTTTTCTCTAAAAAAGCTAGTCCTCAACATTCTTTCAGTGTCTCATCACACTCTCTGCCAGTGGTGAGGAACTTGTGGTTTCTCAACGATTTCCTAAAACATAGCCCCCTTTCAACCTTGTTTCCTTCATGTGGCTCCTGTCATATTGATTTTATTTTGTTTGCTTCATTTATTTCACATAAGGTTTTAGTTAAATGAATCCCAGACCTCATCCTCTGTAATAAACAATTACTTTGTGTGGGTTGTACTGTCGCAACCCAGAAAAAGCTACTAACCCTTTTTAACTAGCTATTCCACACATAACTGTTGGAATAATTAAGCGTTTTGTTGAGTTTCCCTATTTGTTTGCTTGGAGATAATTTCCCCTCACCATAGGCAATCACTTAAATTTTGGAAACGTGTTAAGTTTCTAAGAACACATTTAAAGTAGTGCTTTGAGCAGGCAGTGTTTACCTGTAAATATGTACTTTTTGCCCACAAGGTGGTGCACAAATGCCAGCATCTTTCAGTCTGTGTATTGAGTTGACTCAATTATTTGTCTATGAGTAAATCTACAAGATCGATGCTTTTGAACTGTGGTGTTGGAGGAAAGTGCTGAGAGTGCCTTGGACTGCGAGAAGATCCAACCAGTCCATCCTCCAGGAAATAAAGCCCGACTGCTCACTGGAGGGAAAGATACTAGAGACAAAGTTGAAGTACTTTGGCCACATCATGAGGAGACAGGAAAGCCTAGAGAAGACAATTATGCTGGGGAAAGTGGAAGGCAAAAGGAAGAGGGGCCGACCAAGGGCAAGATGGATGGATGGCATCCTTGAAGTGACTGGACTGACCTTGAGGGAGCTGGGGGTGGTAACGGCCGACAGGGAGCTCTGGCGTGGGCTGGTCCATGAGGTCACGAAGAGTCGGAGACGACTGAACGAATGAACAACAACAAATCTACACCAGTGGTTCCCAACCTTTGATTCTCCAGGTTTTAGACTTCAGCTCCCCCAATTCCTAACTGGTGTAAGCTGAGTCCAAGACAACTGGAGGACCAAAGGTTGGGAACCACTGATCAACACTGTACAATTAATGCAATTTGGCACAATTTTAACTATCTGGGATGAGTGCTGTGAAATCACAGGAATTATAGTTTTGTAAGGTCTTTAGCCCTCTTTGTCAAAGCATGATAGTTAACTGAACTATAATTCCCAAGATTCCATAGCATTGAACTATGTTGTTAAAGTGGTGTCAAACTGCATTACTTCTACAATTTATCTACACCCTGAGCTGGCGAGTCATTCAACCAGCAATATTTTTAATTCAGAGGAATTAAAGAGGGGCATTCCTATGGCCATCCCAAGAAAACCAAAGCCAGACTCCCTACATCCCTATCATATACCCCATTATTTCATTAAATTGAGCCATGGCAGTTAAAGTCGTGTTAAATTGTATTATATAGTGTAGGTGCACCTTATGTCACCTCAGAGTAAAATCCTCCTTTATAATTTGCCAAAATTGAATCATTCAGCTTGCTGTACTTTATCAGTGAAGACTTCTATTTTGATTGTTTCGATATGATCCTAAGTGTAGAAATGTGGTTGCTTACTGAGGGTGTCAGTTTTGCAGTAAAGTTTGATTTTGGCCAATGTCCATAATTTATTATCGTAATCTGTTGGACGCTATCACATTTGAAGAGTCGTCCTTTTACAGAAGAATAACATTCTTACAGGTGCTGTTGATATATCTGTTGCCACACCCTTTCATTGTGTTATATTTCCTCATTGCATCCTTTTTTTTCTTTTACAGATTAAGAAAGCTTACAGACAAAAGGCCCTTACTTGCCATCCAGATAAACATCCCGACAATCCCAAAGCAGGTATGAGCAGTATTTTCAGAAGCACAATATTTTCTTAATGCCATCCTCTTTGTAGTCCCCAGGAATGATGCTTCGTGTCTTCTCCAAGTTATGGATTCATTCTAAGGGAGGCTTGCATGCTGCTTCTTAAACTCTGGGTCCTGATCCCAAATTAACTCAGTGTTTGGGGGGGGGGGGGGTCACGAAAAAAATGGCAGCAGTAAAAGGTTTTTTAATGCCACCTAGCTGTTGTAGACATTCACACAAATCTGTTGTGCGATGTTTACAGTGGACTCTACAGAAGAAGCTTCAGCTGTAGTTCATAAAAAGGAAAATGAGCCTGTGTAGCAAGCCTTGCAAATGCTGATTTGTTATCAGTGAATGTTTGATTTTGAAACTTATTTTATATACCTGGGGTTATGTAAAAATATTTTTGGCCAAACGTTTATTATTATTATTTCAGTTGCTTCAAAGTATTTTAATAATTATTTTGTTACATTTTAACATTATAGTTTTCTGCTCTTATCTGCCCCATTTAGGGAGAATGACAAAGTAGAAATCAAATAAATAATAAGTAGTGTAGTGTGATCCGCTTAATCATTTTCGCCTTGAAAGATCTGTAGAATATGAAAATGAGATGAGTAGAAGCCAGCAGTTTAATTCGAACAAGAGGAAAACTTTTTGGGAGTTTGTCATGTAAAGGGAGAAACAGAATCTTTATAGTGAGAATTGATTTTTAAATGCTATAGAAAGCTTATTGTATAAAACCATTTTACCTGCAAAAATTATAGTTTCAGATATATATCCAAGGACTGTGAGCAGTCTTCTTTGTTGTTGTTTTTATGTTTTTTTTTTCTTTTCTGTCCCTTAGCTGAACTCTTCCATCAGTTGTCCCAAGCATTGGCACTTCTAACAGATGCAGCAGCAAGGGTGAGCTATTTACTTCAATTTCATAACTTCAAGCATATACTGGAATACTTTTGAATCCATGTGTACATGAGTGCTTGAAGGAATAAAAAAAGCGCACATTGGCTTCAGGTACTACTTTGTGGGCCACTGGTTGCTTCTGATGGGTCCAGTTGCATACAAAGGGAATGAGTGACCAGAGCTCCATCTATACTGTCATATAATGCAGATTGAACTGTATTATATGGTAAGCGTAAACTCATATAATGCAGATTGAACTGCATTATATGAGTCTACACTGCTATACAATACGGCAATTCAGTCTGCATTATAATGGCAGTGCATAGTGATGGGAAAACTACTATCAACAATATTTTCCTCATACAACAGGTATTTGATAAGGCATGGATTTTACAATGAAATAATGTGCCCTTAAAATGAATGCACATAAGAAAGAGCAGGAGCCCCTTTTACCTATTGATATCACATGTAAGAAACAAATTGCTGTTATGAATTGCTAATTAATTCACAGGACAAGCGGCACTGGTGGTGCAATATTTTGCCTTCCTCCTGCCTTAATTTCCTAAAATTAAAAAAACCAAAGATTTTTTGCTGGGCCTACCATGAAGCAAGCTATCTTAAGAACTTGACTGTGTCCAAATATTGCTGCCTATTCTCCCAGGCAAGGTGCAATGTGTTCCCATCCAAAGTGCTTCAAGGTAGATTTATGGGAGTCCCACATAATGTAAGACTTTGCTGTAAGCTCATTCGACTCTGCTTTATCATACCTAGAATCAAGGGGGTATAAATGGCAGCTGATTTCTCAGCTGTTTCCATTATACTTTTGTTAGCCTTGGAGAAAGTTTACAGTTGCCTTTTTCCTTCTTGGTTTCCTTAGTTATATGATTTCTACATATGTAGTTGTTAATTTTATTATTTCCAATATATCTTTTATTGGTTTGTTGATATTTTCCAGGCAGCATATGATAAAGTAAGGAAAGCCAAAAAACAGGCAGCAGAAAGAACTCAGAAACTTGATGACAGGAGGAAAAAAGTCAAACTTGGTAAGGAAATCCAGAATATTACTTTTTCATAGGAAGCCAATGCTAAGGTGTTGTTGTTGTTGTTGTTCATTTGTTCAGTCATTTCCAACTCTTCGTCACCTCAAGGACCAGTCCACGCCAGAGCTCCCTGTTAGCCGTGGCCACCCCCAGATCCTTCAAGGTCAATCCAGTCACTTCAAGGATGCCATCCATCCATCTTGCCCTTGGTCAGCCCCTCTTCCTTTTTCCTTCCATTTTCCCCAGCATCATACTCTTCTCTCAGCTTTCCTTTTTTCTCATGATGTGGCCAAAGTACTTCATCTTGGCCTGGTATCCTTTTAATTGCTTCATGGTTATAACAATTGGTTTCCACAAAACTGTTTTAAAATGAGATCTCATTAAAATGAGAACACTATTTCCTATAAAATATCTCTGTTTTGCTAAGTTTATGGACTTTTTGTGCTTCAGATCTTGAAGCCCGAGAAAGAGAGGCCCAGTCTCGGGTCAGCAAGGAGGAAGAAATCCATATAACTAGGACATTGGAACAAGAGGTAAGGCTAGCATACCAAACAATTTTTAGAAAATGGAAGCCAGAGCATGTATATGAAATGGTAGATTTCCAAAATATATGAAATAATTCTGAGACTTTAAAGTCAGAGCTTCAAAATATATAAAGCGGCAGCATAAAGGGAGTTTTTAAATAAAAGTTGAATGGATGTAGCTGATTTATTTGTATGCCGAAGGTCTCGGGTTTCAGTCATTGGTGAAACAAAGTGCCACTTCAGTCTAAATATATTTTTAAAACCCCTCTTTCAGGCATTTCAGGGTCTGTACACAATACTAAACTGGGTGAAATATTATTCTCAGTTGTTATAAGGTAGCTTTATATATCCCTACTCAACTCTATAAAATAAAAATAAAAACTTTTTCATTTGGCTATTGTTAATGATCTGAATGAAGAGCTAGACCTCCAGCCTACTCTTTGTGACAGTTTTATTCTGTTGTTTTTTTTACTGAAAAATGTAACTTTGTAAATTGTTTTATATCAAATTGTTCTGGGCAGTATTGTCATATTTTTGCCTGCCTTTTCAGATTCGACGGTTACGTGAAGAAGGATCCCGCCAATTGGAAGAGCAACAGAGACTCATCAAGGAGCAAATCCGACTTGAGAAAGGACAGCAGGTGCATGGTAAGGCCAAGCAAGATCAGAGCCTCCGGTTATTCTAGCTGTTCAGTTTCTCTCCTTAATACACCCTTAGTAAACTTGGCAAGTTTGTTGTTAATGAATATTCATTTTTTTCTGCTAGAATATTTTAATTTAATAAAAGCTACTTTTTTGTCTCTAAATCGTTTACATGGTATAACGTTTCCTTTTTTTTTCTTTTTTTTCTTTGAGGCAAACAAGATAGGTATGGAGAGGAGAGCAAAGGAACACCCAAGCTCAAAGTAAGACATTCCCCCAAATCTGAGCTGTGAAGAAAGATGTGGAACTAATGTGTCATTCCATCAGTAGAAGCCACACGGATCACCTCCAGCCTCCCAGAAAGCTGGATTGTCCCTGGCATCCTCGCTGCTTAGTGGAATGATCACTTACTTCACCTTAATGTGTTCCTTGCAGTTTAATCTAGAATCTAGGCACTAGAATGAAGGTAATTACATCCGTGACTTTGGATAGTGACAGGTTGCTAGATGCTGCTCAGTGTATGTACAAAATTCCCCATGTTCTTAAAATATGAACTTCTTCCTATTTGTACTTGTTTATAGATAGTCTAGAATACCTTTTTAGTTTACCTACAAATATTTATTTTTAAACCTATCCTTACAAAATACCTGTAGAATCAAATGCTAGATTCCCTTGTATGTAGCTCCCAGTGTGCTACTTACATAAAGATAATGTGTCACTTTTTCCCATTAGCTGCGATGGAAATGCAGTAAAGAAGATGAGACTAAAGGTGGTTACTCAAAAGAAGTTCTTCTACAAATTCTACAAAAGGTTTGTTTCTAAAATCCTTCTTCCCTTTAGTTAGTTTTGTGTAACACTGGCCATATTTACACAGAGAAATTCTAGTTTATTGTGTTGTGTGCTTATCCACACAGCCTGTTTGCTTCTGTCTCATCCTATCTCCAAAACAAACCATTAAATAATTTAGAATTGGTTTATTAAATGTATCATCTGAATCTATGTTGTATCCATTGCAAGCCAAGGTATGCTGGAATTTGGTTTTGGTTTGTTTGTTTATTATAATTTATCCTAAGAGTTACATGGCATTGTTATTTATTATCATTTATCATAAGAATTACATTGTATTCTGTAGCAAAAGGTTTCAGAGCAAAGCTCTTTAAATAATTTGAAACCATGTACCATTTTTAAACAACTTACATCGTAGTGACTTGTTTAATACATTTTTGTTGGCAAATGAGCACTGCTAAGGAATGTATTAACCTGCAAATTGTCTTACAGTTAATATATTCCTGAGTCTTGATGCTTAAATAACTTTGGATACAGTGATTTGACTTCCCCACCCCACCCTTTTTGTTTTTTACTATTACTACATTTTTGAAACTGTTAGATCTTCTTCAGCAACTGATTGGTTGTTTTTGTTGCCCTAGATTGCTTCAGCTCTAGCAACTGCAAATTTTGTAGAAATAAAATTTACAATAAGATAATATTAGTTTTTTTTTCCCAGAAGATTATGGTGTATGAAAGTCAGTGAATTTTTGTGTTTTATTTCATCCACTCCAGTGACTCACTAGCTGCCTTAGTAATATACCTGTAGAGTGCATCTCAACATAAATTACTCTTTGCCAGTATTTTTCCCTTATCTCATTACAGTTTTTCTATCTGTACTTGCAGATTTCCAATTATAAAATTTTTTGTTCTCCTGTAGACTTGTTTCTCACTTCTACCATCCACCCACCCCTTTTTACTCTTGGCAGTATGGTGAAGTACTGAATTTGCTGATTTCAAGCAAGAAGACTGGGAGTGCAGTTGTGGAATTTGCCACAGTCAAAGCTGCTGTAAGTTGTGTGTGTTTTTTACTTACTTACTACAGTATTTTCACTTTGAAGGGTATTCAGGGTGGATCACAGAACATGTAATGTGGGAAACATTCAGTGCCGTTTATACAAGACGGACAATTGTACATAGATAGAGGTATATATAGGCTTTCCCATCTTTATCATCTTGGAGGCTAGTGCTTGGTTCAGGGGGAGGGGGAAGCTGTCACTCCCTCTCCCTATTAGAAGAACTTCTAATATTCTAATATTATGTTAATACATTTTTGGGGGGAAATGTATATTGTATGGAAAGGTGCCTGGTATAAATAGAGCAGATCTTGGTTGAAGCACTTCCCCCTTGAGTCAATCCAGCCTGTAGCAGACTAGACGCTGCTGATGGGGCAGGATCTTCTTCCCTTGGCCTGTCAGGCCTACCAGTTCACCTCTTTCCCAGTATTCACATAAGGTTAGAGGAGAAGAAACTGCTGCCCTCTCCAATAATCATAGGTTAGAAACAATAGGAGGTATTCCCTTGCTTACCATTGTAACGCCTAATAGGAACAGAGACATGAATGTGAAGGTGACAATTTTCATTGGGTGTTTGCCTAAGCTGAAAACAGTTATTTCACTTCTTCCCATTCCAAATTGCATGGGGAAAATAGCAAAGTAGTGACGTTGGTTTCTTGGCTAAAATGCTGGATAGCAACTCTATCTGGCACTTTGGTTAAAGGCCTGATGATGTCATGGTGTGTCCATACCCCCGGTGACATCTAACCTGTGGAGGGCAAAGATGATGATAATTGAGACACACATACACACCCTTCAATATGGCTCTTAACGACACTTTTTGTTCTGTGGTAAAATGTGAGGGTGCTTGCCAGCTGATCCTGTCCTGTCTGCCTGAACTCAGTCCTCTGCCTTATTGAAGGGTGTGTATGTGTTGCTCAGCTCCTCCTTACTCAGGGTGTGACTTTAGAACTCATGAAACTTCATTCATCTGAGAAACAAATCTGAAAGTCCAAGGGCTCTTTCACACAAGTCAGTTACGGTCACTTGTTCCCACTTTAACTTGCATGGCTACATTGTTTGGAATGCTGGGATTTGTAGTTTGGAAAGGTACTAAAATTCACTGGCAGACAATGCTAAATGCTTCAGAAAATTATTTACCCCAAGATTCCATATGATTGAACCAAGGCAATTCAAGCAACCTCAAAGGAATATAATTGTGTTGTGTAAAAACTTGAAGCAATAATTGATTATTGTTGTTCAGTGCTAGGCAAGCTAGAGCTGTTTTCATGAGAAAACTATTAAGTCAATGTCTTTTTTGTAGGGATCTCAATCTGCATGAGTGTGACTTTGAAAGAGCCCTTACTCTCATGCCTCCACATTTTCAGTTTTAATTTTTGTAGATTTGATTACTTATGGATTCGATTAAAAATATTCTTTTAGGATTTTTTTAGGGGGTCCAGTGCAGTTCTATGGTTGACTTCCTCCTGGCATGCTAGGACCTAGAGATTTCTAGAGAAAACACTTCTCTAGGAATCTCTGGGTTGTCAAGTTATATTAACTATGAGATAGAGAATAAGAAATTTCTAGATATGTTTTCCATTTTGCTTTTGTGCGTGTGCTTTGTTCTTCTTTTGTTATTTTTTTTTAATAAACTTTATTGTCAGTTTCGATACAGTTATAAAAACAATAGAAAACACTGGAAAACACGAGGGTCAGGGAATAGGGAGGGGGGGTGTGTGAGGAAGAGTGTGTAGGAAGGGAGGAGGGGGAATAGGAGAAGGGGGGAAATGGGGGTTGGGACGACGAGGGGGGGGAGGATAGGGTGGGGGGGGAGAACGACTTTTAAAACCAGACACAATAGGGATGGGGTGGGTTTACAAGTACTTCCAGGTTGAGCAGACAGATCAGTATTCTTATAAGCACATATTGTAACTGATAACATACCTATCAGATTCTATTCTAATACATTGACAGGCTACCGCTTAAATTGGTTTCTAAGATTTATCTTTCTTTGTCCAGGTATTCCAAAAATTTTTTCCAATCGGTATGCTTCTTCTTCTCTCCATTATCTGATAGTCTCTGAGTCAAGAGGTCCATATTCATAACATCATATATCTTTAAAGTCCACTGTTCAATTGTAGGGATTTCTCGAGATTTCCAGTAACGGGCCAGTTGGATTCTGGCTGCTGTCGAGAGGTGGAAAAGGATCTTACTATCATTGCTGTCCATGTTAGAGTCAGTTATTCCCAACAGAAAAAACTCGGGTTTTAAGGGGAATTTCTTTTTTAATATCTTTTCAGATTCTTTGTGAATTGCTCGCCAAAAGGCGTTCACCTTTTTACACCCCCACCACATATGCCAGAAAGTTCCAGTAGTTCTTTTACATTTCCAACATCTGCTCCCCAACTTCCCTCTACTAATTCTGGCCAGTTGTGTTGGAGTTAGGTACCATCTAAAAAAAAGTTTGTACCTGTAATCGTTTGAATATACACATTTTATTTTTCTGGACCAGATTTCTTCCCATTCCGAGAAATGTACTGGGCGGCCCAGGTCTTTTGCCCATTTCACCATATTATTTTTAACTAGCTCTTTTTCTGTTTCCCATTTTAATAACTGCTAATATAGTTTCCTTATATGTTTATTCTCGGATTGTATAATTCTATCCCAGAAAGATTCTTCCATTTCAAACCCAGTCTTTCTATCTAAGTAGAAGCACTCTTTAATCTGATGGTATTRGAACCATGAAAGAGTTGAGTCATAGTTCCTTAGCTCCTCCTGGGTTTTGAGTATTGGGTTCCTTGTATTTCCTTTTAAGATTTCCTTATAAGTCAGCCACTTCTCTCTGCCGGCCCCTCTAATTTGGCTAGCTTCGTTCGGAGAGAACCACCTCGGAACTTTGGTATGAAATTTATCTTTATACTTTTCCCAGATTTGAATAAGGGGGGCTCTAACAAAGTGGTTTTTAAAGTTTCTTTCTTTCTTTGCTGTTCCTCTCCATAAATATTTGTGCCAGCCTTGCATTAAATCGTGACCCTCAAGTGCTAATAATTTTTCCTCCTTAAGGCTGATCCACTCCTTAACCCAACATAACGCGGCGGCATCATGGTAGAGGCGCAGGTTCGGGAGAGCCAGGCCTCCTCTTTTCTTGTTGTCACAGAGGTTAATGAAACTGATCCTGTGCCTGCCTCCCTTCCAGATGAATTTTTGGATATCCCTATGCCAAATTTCGAATGTTTTTTTGGTTTTGATAATTGGGAGGGTCTGGAACAGGTAGAGCATATCGGGGAGTATACTCATTTGAATCGTGGCTATTCTACCTAAGAGTGAGAGTTTTAATGGTTCCCACCTTTTCATTTTCTCTTTGATTAGGGGCCACTTCTTTTCGTAATTGTTCTTATATAATTGGGCATTTTTAGCTGTTAAGATGACCCCTAGATATTTCACTTTCTTAGCCACTCTGAGTTTTGTTCTATTTTGTAGCTCGTCTTCTTTCTTTTTAGAGATATTTTTTGTCAACATTTGGGTTTTGTCTTTGTTTATTTTAAATCCCGCCACCAAGCCAAATGCCTCCAGTTCCTGCCACCACTTGTCTATGGTGTTAAGAGGGTCTTCTACCACACAGACTATGTCGTCCGCAAAGGCCCGAATCTTGAGCCTGTGTTTCCCGAGAGTAAGGCCTTTCAACTCCTCATTCTTTCTGATGTTGTTTAATAACAGTTCTAATGTCAATATAAATATGAGGGGAGACAGCGGGCAGCCCTGTCTAGTTCCCTTTTCTATTTCGAACCTATCTGAGGTATGACCGTTAATTATTATATTGGCAAATTGATGCGAATAGATGGCTTCTAACGCTTTATTGAAGTTGTGGCCGGCGTCCATTTCTTTTAATGTTTCCTTAATTAGGAACCAGTTGACGTTGTCGAACGCCTTCTCGGCGTCGACGAATAAAAATGCCACTTCTTTATTGATTTTTTTATCGTAGTATTCTATCGCATCTAGGATTGTCCGAATGTTGTCCCTAATTTGCCGTCTCGGAAGGAAACCTTTTTGATCTTCTTCTATCCTTTCCACTAGTATTTCTTTCAGCCTATCCCCTAATATGCTGGTGAATATTTTATAGTCATTATTAAGAAGGGAGATCGGCCTATAATTCCTGGTTTTTGTACTATCTGTGTTTTCTTTATGTAATAATGTAATGCTGGCTGTTTTCCATGTATCTGGGATTATGCCTTCTTCTAATGCCTTATTCATCACTTTCAGAAGTGGGTTCGAAAGGAGGTCAGTAAAAGTTTTATAATATAAGGTCGTAAACCCATCAGGGCCGGGGGATTTGTGGATAGGAAGCCTCTTTATTATTCTTTGTAATTCTTCTTTTGATATCTTTCTGTTAAGTCTCTCTCTTTGGGTATCCGATATTTTAGTTATGCGTTGCTTACCTAAGTATTGCATCACTTCCTCTTTCGGGATTAAATCATCTGAGTATGGATTCTTATAATATCTTACAAATTCTTCTAATATTTCCTGTGTTTTGAAGTAGGACACCCCTTCCCCTTCTATCTCTGTTATTCTTCGGGATTGTTTTTTGATGGCGAGTTTCCTCGCTAATCATCTACTTACTTTATTTGCGTTTTCGAAATAGTTCTGTTTTACATATTTTAGTTTTTTTTCCATCTCTTCTAGGTCAAGAGTGTTAAGTTGTTTCCTTAGTATCTCTATTTGGTATAATATCTTTTTGTTTGAAGGGTTCAGTTTTGCTTGTGTCTCCTGCTGTTCTAATTCTTTCTTTAACTTATCGTAAGCTAGTTTTCTGTGTTTCTTCTCTCTGGCTGCATGTTCCAAAAAATGCCCTCTCATAAAGGCCTTAGAGGCATCCCAGATGACTTCTATTGATTAATCTTTTTCCACATTGAAGGTAAAAAATTCTTTTATAAGTTCGTTATATTTATTTATGTTCTTTTCTCCTCTAATTAGGTGTTCGTTTAATTTCCAATGAAAGCTGGTTCCCTCATTTTTTTTCTCCCAGAATATTATTAGCAGTGGGGCGTGGTCTGATGTTAACATTGGTAATATTTTAGATTTTTCTACCTTATTAAACATTGATTTTGAACACCAGGCCAAGTCAATACGTGACCACGTTTGATGGCGGTTAGAAAAAAAGGTGTAATCAATCTCATTTTTGTGTTGCAGTCTCCATACGTCTACCAGGTCGAATTCTGCTAGCATTTGGTTACACGCTTTAGGAAGAGTCCCTGTTGGACATTTGGTACCTTTCCCTTTTTCTGTTGATTTGTCTTTTTGACTATCGGGGACTGCATTAAAATCTCCTAGAATCAGCAACTCATCAAATTCATGTTCAAGTATATGATTCCTCAATTTCTGCATAAATTCCACTTTTCCCCCGTTAGGCGCATATATATTACAGACAAGTGTTTTAGCTCCATTTAAATCTATCAGCACTCCCAACATCCTCCCGTCACGATCTTTAAAAGCTAGTCTGGATACCAGATTCTCTCTCACATAAGTGGCTACTCCTCTTTTCTTTTCCCCACTACAAGAATGGAACAGTTTCCCCAATTTTTTCTGTTCCAAATATGCAACGTGTTTCTCTATAATATGAGTCTCTTGTATACAAAGTATATCACATTTTTCCCTGCTTAAGGAGTGCCATATCTTCCTCCTTTTATTTGGCAGGTTCAGACCATTGACATTTTGAGTTATTATTTTTATTCTTTGATCCATTTTGATTTATTTTTTATTACCTTATTTTCATCCGCTGTGCAGTATCTTCTGGTCCGTCCGGGTGATGGTAGACTTTGGGGGATTTCTTCCTAGCCCTTTTTCTTTTTTTTCTTACTTAAGCCTAATTCTGTCGGAGATTCCTCTTCGCTGCTTTCCTCTCCTTCTTCTTTCTCCTCCGTGCTGGTAGGTTCTTTTTCGGTTTTCCTTAATGGGGTTTGAAAGTCCTTGCCTTCCTCTTTTAATAATTTTTCCCAGAAGTTCTTGGCCTCTGTCTCCGAAGATATCCAGTGCCTTTTTTCCTTCCAGGAGATCATCAGTCCCTCATTTTTCTCCCATCTAAACCGGATATTCCTTTTTTTTAACTCATCGGTTAAAAAGTGGTATTTCCTTCTTTTTTCTAGGATCGTTATGGGGATTTCTTTTAGGATTACTATCTTGTTACCATTGTAAAATGTAGGGGCTCTTGCATTTTCTCTCAATATTTCGTCACGTATACTTTTTTTGGTAAATTGTATCAGAATATCTTGGGGTACTTTGTTTTTTTTGGCATAACTAGAGTTGACTCTGAAGACTCTGTCGATCTTTCTTGTAGATTCTATACTGGTTTTCGTTATCGTAGACACCAGATCAGAGAGCATTTCTTTCAAGTCTTCATTTTCTTGTTCTTTGATATTACGGAACCTTAGTTGTGATTCTTTTTCTCTCAATTCCTGTGTCTCTTGCTGGTATCTTAGAGTAGTAATTGAGCCTTCCATTACCTTCAACTTTTTTTCCATATCTACATATCGGTCTTTAAAGCTCTCATTTTCCTTTTTTAAGATCTTATTTTCTTGCTTCAGCCTCACTACATCTTCTTT